TTTGGAAGATCATTGCTGTAAATGAGGAAGAGCAGGGGTCCAAGGACACTTCCCTGCAGAACTCCAGTATCAAGTGGCTGTATTGATGAGGCTGTGTCTTTAATGGTGAGATACTGATACCTATTAGAAAGGTAGGATTTAAAATATGCAAGCGCATGACCTCTTATACCATAGTGGTCAAGTTTGTGGAGTAGGATGCCGTGGTCTACTGTGTCAAACGCTTTTCATAGGTCAATAAAAATTCCTAGCAGATATTCCTTATTTTCCAATGCTGTGTAAAGCAGGTCTAGCACTTTTATAATTGCATCATTAGTGCTTTTATTTTTCCCGAATCCAAATTGGCAGGGGTTGAGTATGTTTTGTGCCGTTATAAATGAATGTAGTCTCCTGTGCACGAGTTTCTCGAAGATTTTGGATAGCAATGGTAAATTTGATATTGGCCTATAGTTGTTTACGTCTGTAGGGTCACCACCTTTATGTATTGGTGTAACCCTTGCTGTCTTGAGTAGTGTCGGGAAAGTGCTAGTTTCTAGTGACTTGTTAAAAAGTAATGTAATAGCATGCGAAAGGACATGGGCCGCTTGCTTGTACAATAATGGTGGGACGTGAGACAGATTCCTTGAGTTATTTTTAAGTGACTTTATGATCGCGGTGACTTCTGCGGGCTCAGTTGGTACAAGATAGAAGGAATTTGTTTATTCAGTAGTGTACTCTATATTGTAATAAACAGAATAGAGGAAATCAGCTCTAATATACATTATTTACGTATGCACATAATGGTCAGAGAGCCCGTCTTAAGTCCGAGTTGTTGGTAAACAAGTACGTTGCTAAGTGAGGAGAGGCTATATATTGTTTACAAAACTTGTTTACACTAACAAATAGGTAAAAATGTTCCTTATTACTAATGTTCTATCATATTTATGCATGTATACATTCACTGGACGTGTTCCTAGAACTGTTGCAATTTTGTCGAACTCCGAAAAATAGTGTCATGCTCAGTGGTGTTTTACACTCTTCATACATTAATCAAGTGTCTCTTTTTTTTGTATGCACACAATAAAACATTTCTTCTGAGCTCATTTCTTCTTAGTAGGAGGAGGTTGTGTTTGGAAGTGATCACCTTGCCGCCTCAAACGAGAAGTTATTTGGTGATCAGTTCATGGGTGGTTTTGTATTGTAGGTGTTCTTACCTGGTACTAGAATATTAGTTGTCTGATGACAGTCAAACAAAATTCACATTCAGTCTTCATTTGGTACACATTATATGTATATAGTATGGAAATGTCCATGAGATGGAATAAGAGTTTCATGTACCACTTATAACTCTTATGAACACAATCAGCAAATCCAATTTGCATGTTACATTTATCCACCAAACCTATATTGAGTGTGTAGTCAGTCACAGCTGCAGGTTTTAAAATTGGTTCATTGGACACTGTATCCACCCTGCAAGTATCTTTCATTTCATTATGGTGAATGGATGTCAACAATGTGACATGTCGTTTGTCATGCCACCGTAATGCCATAATGTCATTAGCAGAAAACACCTGCACCTCACCACTATGAGTGCCTGCATTAAACCTGGATGTATGCTTATGATTTGAGTTCACTGTACCACACGTCTGTCATATTCACCAGTTATCAGTATATAATGTATGCCCCGTACCAAAATGTGGTTCCATCGTTGTTCTCACTATGTCACCTGAGATACCCAATAACTTCTTGGTATCTTCCAATGTTTTACTTCCTGTGTACACAATTATATCCAGTACAATACCACTGTCACAATCACAAAGCACAAACAACTTGATACCAAACCATTTCCTCTTGCTTTGTATATACTGCTTGAAAGACAGTCTACTTTTGAAGAGAATCAAAGACTCATCAATAACAAGGATCCTGAAGGGATAAAAATACATACTGAGCTTCTGTTTCAGATACATAAAAAATTTTTAATTTTGTAAAACCCTGTCATTTCTGTCAGGCCTTGTTTTGTCAGAGAAGTGTAGCATACATAACAGTAGCATAAATCTGTTGATTGGGATAATATTACTGAAGGGTGGGGTAGAAATTAGGCACTCTGTGGACCTGTGTGATTTGATATTATGCTTAAACACATGTGACAAAAGCATTATTGTGGCAAAAGACAAATACATCTCAGCCACCGTGGTCTCCTTCCACCAGTGTAGTTGTGACTGTGGTGAAACGTGTGTTTGTCATGGTATAATCAAAGTGCCTGTTGCTTTCCCTGACAATAATTTTTATCAGGGGTTGATCAAAAAAGAGTTCAAAAAATTTTGGTTCACTAGTAGTGTTCCCAGAGGTACAATTTGGCAGGATTCCACTGTGATTGACACCAAATTGATGAGGATTGGGCACAAAATTTGCATTTTGCGGCCAATCCTACATATGGTTTGTTGGTGGGTACTGGATATTAACCCTTTCAGGGTCTGTCCCGTAGATCTACGGCTTTACGTTCAGGGTCCAAACCGTAGATCTACGTCATGAGCTCAGCTCACTCTGATAAATTGTGAGTGGTACATTTGGGCCTAGATATGAGAGAATACATCTATGTGGTATGTGTGCACCACATAAAACAGATCCTGCAGCACACTGTGAATAATGAGAGAAAAAAACTGAAATCATGATTTTTCGATTAAAACAGTGACTTTGCAGTGTTTTTTCGTATGTTTTTTATAGTTGTATTTGCGATTTCTTGGTCTCATTTGATAGAATGGAAGACATATTACAGAAATAGAGATGATTTTGTTTGGTTTTAGCACTGGAAATGGCTTGAAACTGAGCTCAAAGATGCAGAAATGTTAAATTTTTGCCGATATTCAAGAGTAAACAAACGACCTCACACGTCTAATACATGCCAGCTGGTGGGTCTAATATGCATTCACAAATATGGTGATGATATTCATACAATTATTACAGTATTGCATAACAGTAAATCTTCTATTTTTTGGTGTGAATAAAAATTCATTTTGTGAATAAAAAATAAAAATGGAATTTATTTGTAAAGCCTCAAAACGTAACTAATGAACAGAGGAAATGTTAGTTTAGTTCCAGGAATACCTACATTGTTTATTCTGGACCCTATTTTGAAATTGGAATATTTTGAACTTTGTGTTAAATTGGCCAAATTAACAATTTCCGATCACTTTATTTGTAGTTGAAACAGTTGACTTGGCGATTTCTTGTGCTTAATTGATAGAATAGAAGTAATGCTAGTGAAATAGCTAAGAATTTGGTTGACTGGAGTAATGTAATTGGCCTAAAATGGGAGTCAAAGTCGGCAAAATCGCCAATTCGTAAATATCGCTGACACATCAAAATTCGCGAGAGCATAATTTCGTCAATTTTCCATCAAATTTCATACTTTTTGTTTTATTACCTTCACAAAAAGATTCTCTACCATTTCATAAGAAAAAGTAACAAATTTTTTTTTTTTAAATTCTTGGACACTGGGGCACCACTTCAGATTTAGGCCTTGGACCCTGAAGGGGTTAATATCTGGTTGTGGTTGTGGTTGTGGTTATGCAGGTTGTTGTGTAGGGGCAGTTGAAGATTGTGGATGTGCTGAGTCAGTGGTGTGGCTCCCAGCCTGGGCTGTTGGTGGTGCCACATCCTGCATGGCACCACCACCACCTACTGACGTATGTGGTCTATCATCCATTCCAATTGTAGCCTAATCATCATCACTTTCAATATCTGTTCCTGGTATAGGAACAGGATGTGCTCTGGAATGTACTCCATCCCCTTGAATTACATATAGCACACTACCAGACTGCATGTGGCATCGTATAAATTGACACTTCACTGGTGAATATTCTTCCTCACTGTTGCTACTCGAATGGTAATCAAGAGCTAGGAAATCAAAATCCACATCACTGTCATTACCAGTTCGGCAGGAAGTGAAGGTCTTTGCTACCATAAGGCATGGTGAACAAAGTGTACTGAGATGGCATTCCCATAATGCAGTGTGGGCACCCCAATTTTTTGTTTACTATGCACTCTAACCACACAGACCCATTCTCTTACATGTAAGCTTACCAGCCTTCTCGCTCTAAATTTGAAGCCGCTACAATTTTGGCATAGTACTATGGCACAGACATTGACTTCCAAGCCATGGAACTATGGCACAGATGGCAAAGTGGTTAAACAAATGTATATAAAACAGGTAAAATCATAACAAGTTACATGGGAAGAGTAAGAACATTTACATTATACAGTGGACCCCCGGTTTACGATATTATTTCATTCCAGAAGTATGTTCTGGTGCCAGTACTGACCGAATTTGTTCTCATAAGGAATATTGTGAATTAGATTAGTCCATTTCAGACCCCCAAACATACACATACAAACGCACTTACATAAATACACTTACATAATTGGTCGCATTGGGAGCTGATCGTAAACCGGGGGTCCACTGTACTATATGTATTAAGATTATTCTATTAATTTAAAATAAAATTATAATAAAAATTACAATAAGAGTAAAACTAATTATCTGTATTATTACAGAATGTGATGAGATGCTATTTTATATGTATTTAAGTCAATGATATTCACAGTAGAATTGATTCAGTGAGAATGACTCAATGTATATGGTCAGATAAAATTCTAGCAAGGTTAATGAGAATAGCAATACTTAGATTATTCAATATTTAAGGTAATCAGTAATTCAAAATAAAAATTATAATAAAAATTATGATAGGAATAGAGCTAGTTTCCTGAAGTCATACGAAATATGATGATATATTTGTTGATAAATTAGACACATGTGCAACACTTGGGTATTTTTAATGAGGAAATGTTTCTCCACACAGTGGCTTCATCAGTCCATACAAAGGACTGTGAGGATCACATTAAGGTAAGGAGGTGATTTTTAACAGTAGCTTGGAACTGGTTGGCAGATAGGAAGGAGTCAGATTTTAATATGGAAATAATACTAAATATTAAATTCAAAGTATAGTCCTTTTTCATATTTTTAGGCCAAAGCACTGCTGAAAATGTTGGATGTGATGACAGAGAAGAGTAGGCGAGCAACAGTGTCTGTCACTGCTGGTCGAGGTCGAGGCAAGTCAGCAGCCTTGGGTCTGGCTGTGGCAGCAGCTGTACATTTTGGTTTGAATAATATATTTGTCACCAGCCCATCACCAGACAACCTTGGCACATTTTTTGAATTTATCTTTAAAGGTATGATTTTTTGGTATTTTATACAGGTATGTTAATTCAGTTCATATGAATTTTACAACTTTGAGTTTCCAGCGCAACACATGTTCTGGCCTTGTACTTCTGTTAAAGTGGTGTTGTTTTGTTTGTGCTTAAGTAGCATGACAATTGAAAAACAAACAGTAAAATTATATTTCATGACTTCTTCAATATATTTATCTAAGGTACAAATTGCTGTTACAGTATATTATTACATATTTTAACACACCACTGGTCTCCCACCGAGGTACGGTGACCCAAAAGAGAAAAAATACTTTGTTTTTTTACATTTTGTGATTTATACAGGAGAAGAGGTCACTAGCCCTTTGCTCCTGGCATTTTAGTTGCCTTTTATGACACACATGGCTTACAGAGAAAGGACTCTTTTTCCACTTCCCATGGAGAATTATCATGTGTTTTTTCGATGAAGTGGCTGTATCCAACTCAGGCAGGGTGACCTAAAAAAAAAATGAAAGTTTTTCTTCTTAAATTTAGTAATTTATAGAGGAGAAGGGATTACTAGCCCCTTGCTTTTGGCATTTTAGTCACCTCTTATGACATTCATGGCTTACGGAGGAAAGTCTCTCTTCAACTGCCTCAAGGAGAATTATCACATTTTTTCGTTCAGCAAACTGGCCGTATCCCACTGAGGCAGGGTGCCCTAAAAAGAAAAATGAAAGTTTCTCTTTTTAAATTTAATAATTTATACAGGAGAAGGGGCTACTAGCCCCTTGCTCCCGGCATTTTAGTCGCCTCTTACAACACGCATGGCTTATGGAGGAAGAATTTTATTCCACTTCCCCATGGAGATGAGAGAAAATAAACAAGAACAAGAACTAGTAAGAAAATAGAAGAAGACCCAGAGGGGTGCATTTATATATATGCTTGTACATGTATGTGTAGTGTAACCTGAGTGTAAGTAGAAGTAGCAACCTGGAGTTTACCTGGAGAGAGTTCTGGGGGTCAACGCCCCTGCGGCCCGGTCTGTGACCAGACCTCCTGGTGGATCAGAGCCTGATCAACCAGGCTGTTGCTGCTGGCTGCACGCAAACCAACGTACGAGCCACAGCCCGGCTGGTCAGGAACCGACTTTAGGTGCTTGTCCAGTGCCAGCTTGAAGACTGCCAGGGGTCTGTTGGTAATCCCCCTTATGTATGCTGGGAGGCAGTTGAACTGTCTCGGGCCCCTGACACTTATTGTATGGTCTCTTAACGTGCTAGTGACACCCCTGCTTTTCATTGGGGGGATGGTGCATCGTCTGCCAAGTCTTTTGCTTTCGTAGTGAGTGATTTTCGTGTGCAAGTTCGGTACTAGTCCGTCTAGGATTTTCCAGGTGTATATAATCATGTATCTCTCCCGCCTGCGTTCCAGGGAATACAGGTTTAGGAACCTCAAGCGCTCCCAGTAATTGAGGTGTTTTATCTCCGTTATGCGTGCCATGAAGGTTCTCTGTACATTTTCTAGGTCAGCAATTTCACCTGCCTTGAAAGGTGCTGTTAGTGTGCAGCAATATTCCAGCCTAGATAGAACAAGTGACCTGAAGAGTGTCATCATGGGCTTGGCCTCCCTAGTTTTGAAGGTTCTCATTATCCATCCTGACATTTTTCTAGCAGATGCGATTGATACAATGTTATGGTCCTTGAAGGTGAGATCCTCCGACATGATCACTCCCAGGTCTTTGACGTTGGTGTTTCGCTCTATTTTGTGGCCAGAATTTGTTTTGTACTCTGATGAAGATTTAATTTCCTCGTAAATAACAAAAAGGCACAATACCGTGACTGGAACGATACACAAATAACCCGCACATAAAAGAGAGAAGCTTACGACGACGTTTCGGTCCGACTTGGACCATTGACAAAGTCACACTAACAGAGGTGGAGCAGGATGGCTATATATAGGCAGGAAGAGGTGGAGGTAGTAGTAGTAGTACAAGAATTGTATACAATACCGACAGGATGAAATGACAATTCTTGTACTACTACTACTACCTCCACCTCTTCCTGCCTATATATAGCCGTCCTGCTCCACCTCTGTTAGTGTGACTTTGTCAATGGTCCAAGTCGGACCGAAACGTCGTCGTAAGCTTCTCTCTTTTATGTGCGGGTTATTTGTGTATAATTTCCTCGTGTTTACCATATCTGAGCAAGATGCACAGTGGAACCTCAAATTTCAAACTTAATCCGTTCCAGGAGCTAGTTTTAAATTCAAAAAGTTTGAAAAGCGAAGCAATATTTCCCATAAGAAATAATGGAAATACAATTAATCCGTTCCAGAAACCCAAAAATATTCACGAAAAAATACATTTTATATAGAGATTAATTATAGTTTTACATACACACAACAAATATAGTGTACAATTAATTTAAATAAACATATAAAATAACATTTTTACTTACTTTTATTGAAGATTGGTGATGGCATCTGGAAGATAGGGAGGAGGAGAGAAGAAGTTAGGGTTAGTGTTTGGAAGGGGAATCCCCCTCCATAAGGACTTTGGTATCAAAGCCCTCTCTGGGGTTACTTCCCTTCTCTGTCTTTTAATGCCGCTAGGACCAGCTTGAGAGTCACTAGACCCCTGTCTCACAAAATAACTGTCCACAGTCCTCTGTTTCTGGTGCCTCTTTAACCCTTTGACTGTTGCAAGCCCCTTTCTGAAACTTTCTATGTCGCAAAATTTTTGGAAAAAAAAAAATTATTTTTTCTTGTGAAATGATAGAGAATCCTTTCCCGATGGTAATAACATCAAAAGTATGAAATTTGGTCAAAAACTCACGGAATTACGCTCCTGCGAAGTTAGCGGTCTCGGCGACATATATGCATCGGCGATTTCGCTGACTTTGAGCCCTGTTTTTGGCCAATTCCATTGTTCCAGTTGACCAAACTCATAGCTATTTCTTTAGAACTCCATTTTTTCTATCAATTGAGTACAAGAAACTGCCCACTTACCAATTTGAACTACCCAATAAAGTGATCAGAAATTGGCAATTTGGCCAATTTCACGCAAATTAAAAAAGTTGCCAATTTCAAAATAGGGTCCAGAATAAACAATGTAGACATTCTTGGCACTAAAATAACATATCCTCTGTTCATTAGTCACATCTCTAGGCCCCTCTTTTATTACTATTGCTTTCTATTTTGATTTTTTATCATGCAAAAAATACAAAATTTACTGTTATGTAGACTACTGCATTATTGTAAAAAGAGTATAAATAATATCAGTACACTAGTGAAAGAATATTAGACTCTCCAGTTGACGTATATTGGACGTGTGTTGTGATTTGCTTACTCTTCAACATTGGTAAAAAATCAAACATTTCCGCTACTTTGAGCTCAATTTCAAGGTCGTTTTCATCATGAAACTAATCAAAATCATCTCTATTTCTGCAATATGTTTTCCATTTTATCACGTGAGACCATGAAAACGAGAATGCAACCATAAATACTATACGAAAATACACCTCAAATTCGGCGTTTTAATCCAAAAAAAAAAAAAGATCAGTTTTTTTTCTCATTATGCACTGCGTACTGCATGATTTTTTTATGTGGTGCACACTGACCACACAGACCCATTCTCTCACATGTGGGCCTACCAGCTTTCTCCTGCTTGATTTGAAGCCACTAGAATTATTGAGTATACAGACCATACAGTGGACTCCGACTTAAAATATTAATTCATTCCAGAAGTCTGTTCGGGTGCCGTTACCGAACGAATTTGTTCCCATAAGGAATATTGTAAATTAGATTAGTCTGTTTCAGACCCCCAAAAATACACATACAAAAGCACTTACAAAAATACACTTACATAATTGTTTGAGTTGGGAGCTGATCGTAAGGCAGGGGTCCACTGTATATACGTCCGAAACACTGGCTCGTAAGACGTATATATACGACCAAAACAGTCAAAGATTTAAGATTTCCTTAAAATGGGACATGGTTCTGTCACTGAACTTGTTGCAAAGATGGCTTGTTTCAGCTTGCTCAGGGTGGTACAGGAAGGCCCCACTTATACGGCGGGTTAGGTTCCAGGCTACCGCCGTAAAGCGGAAACCGCCGTAAAGTGGAACACCCTTTTATTTTCCTTGTAAATGCATATAAATGCTAGATAACGTATTTACACTGACATATATTAAATTAGCAATAGAACTAAGCATTAAAAAAAACAATGAAAAGTAAAATTACACACAGTACATTTATTACATACCTTTAATTACTTAATATGAATGTGTGAGAGGTGAGTGGCAATGTAGTTATTGAATCAAATCAGGAGATGGCAGACCATCATTAATGCGCCCAAGAGATTATTATTATTACTATTATTATTACTATTATTACTATTATTATTATTATTATTATTATTATTATTATTATTATTATTATTGCATCAAGAGTAGAGAGACTCTTAGTGATTTTAATGTGTACCTACATGAAAGCAGTGTGTAAGTTTATTTAGGTACAGGTATACATAAGTATAATTATCAGAGTACATGTATATATAAATTATGAAATAACTTTTAAAAACATTTGAAATTTTGGAGTTTCCAGACAAAATGGAGAGACTTAGTGCTTACTGAGCTCATGGAGAATGTAAACAAACAGGGTGGGGCACGGTGACCGTATTAGAAAGTCAGGTGGGGGGAGCCGTATAGCGAGTTTTGGTCATAATTTGAAATGTCCGTATTAGCGGAACGCCGTAAAGTGAAACGCCGTAAAGCGGGGCCTTCCTGTACTTCTCCACAAACATTTGGACATCATTCCACTTGGCGCAAATCTCCTTAACCCTTTGACTGTCGTAAGCCCCTTTCTGAAACTCATTCTATTTTGCAAAATTTTTGGAAAAAAAAAATTTATTTTTTCTGATGAAATGATAGAGAATCTTTTCCCGATGGTAATGACACCAAAAGTATGAAATTTGGTCGAAAACTCACGAAATTACACTCCCGCGAAGTTAGCGGTCTTGGCAACATATACACATTGGCGATTTCACC